CCACCTATGACGCAGTGCCACCAACAATGGTAACCACTACGCCATCGGAACTCCACGAGAGAGGCGTGGTGAAATGACGGGTTTGAAGTCCATTTGAAATTTGGTGGCCTGAGAAAAATTTCAGCCACACGGAGAGTCGTACCACCGACCTCCCGCGCTCTGAGCGGGCGCGCTACCGACTGAGCCATAGAGGCGAGACACGGATTGGCGCTCCAGGGAACGAATCATTCTACGCTGTCGCTGACTGGCGTCGCTGTCGCTCCTTGTCTCCCGTAATACAGGACCGACTTTGAATTCGAAGTGGAGAAGACGGGCGGGCGGCCGAGCGCACTAAATCGTGCTCGTGTCAAACTGCGCGCCCGAGATTCGACTCCCGGCTAGGGCAGATATATATTTTATCTCCTTCACTTCTGTGGCAGCTGAAACTGTCTGGGGTTCGACTCCCGACCAGCCCTAGGCCTCTGCTGTTTACAGTTTGGGGGCCACAGGATTAATTTTGGTAAATTATTGATGTCGGGTGAAATACATGAGCAAATTGAAATTACAAAAAAAAAAAAAACACACTCTTTTATTTCTGTTCAAATGCGAGTGCGAAACATAAAAGTATTTGGTTTTGGCGATGTCACATACTGTCTACAATCACTGCACGAGTGGCGAGCAGCCAAGTCAGTTGCTCTTCTGCTTCATGCTCTTCACGTCCTCCGCGGAGAGGGCGAACTCCATGTGCTCGTTGCGGTACGCCTTGGGGTTCTCCGAGGTCCTCTCCTTCATGTCCTGGGCGATCTCCTCCTGGGTGGCCTCGGCGACGGCCTTGCCGCGCCCGTAGAACGTCTCCTCGGTGTACACGCGGTCCTTGCGCCGGTACGTGCCGTGCAGCTGCGGGGAGAGAGAGAGTCAGAGTGAGAGAGACGCCACTGGTAGCGCCTGCCACGCGCCGGGTGGGCCAGCCCGCCAAGCAGCTGTGTCCGGCTGGAGGCCCGCCCAGAGCGCCCCAGTGCGACGGGCGCAACGCTCCCCGCTCGCGTCAACTCGGGGGGGTCGCTCAATGGCGGCCACCACCAGAGTCTGGCCGGCCGACTAGGGACTCCTGGCATGCAAGCACTCACCTTATCCCACATCCAGCAGTTGAAGCCGAAGTTGACGTGGAAGTACTGGTGGTGGTTGTCGTGGAAGATGGCGTCCGGCTGCCAGGGCTGCCACCAGTGGGCCTTGAAGTTGATGCCCGAGTGGTCAATGATGCCGTGGTAGTAAGTGTACATCACGATCGCGTAGAACGGGGCTGAAAGGGCATGTTCATTCATTATTTACCAAAATAGCAATGAAAGCAACACCTCAGCAGCAGCGTGGCACGATCAACAGGGGGACTCACCCCAATGCACGGGGAAGGCGAACAAGGGCAAGCACAGCGTCATCTGGATGTGCAGGACCTCGACCGGGTGGATGGCGGTGACGGAGAAGGCGGTGGGGTGCTTGTACGTGTGGTGCAGCTTGTGGAAGTGCTTGTACAGCCAGGGCGTGTGGTAGGCGCGGTGCAGCAGGTACGTCACGTAGTCCTGGTAGATGAAGATGACGGGGACCTGGAGGAAGAACCAGGCCGCACCGTACGCGTCCCACTCGTAGTAGACGGAGCTCCAGCCGCCGTTGGCGATCCAGCAGGCCAGGATGGAGGAGAAGGTCCCAGTGACGAGCAGCGACAGCGAGCCCACCTTGATCTCGTGCAGCTCGAGGTCGGTGCTGAGCCACGAGTTGGGCTGGCACTTCCACTCCTTGGCGCTCTCGCGCTGACGCACGTAGAAGTACCACTGAAGGCAGAAAGAGAGGGGTGTTGAGTGACGCCTGTATGTCAATAGTTAGGGTTGGAAATTTCCCGAATTTTCCGGAAAATTTGGAAAAACTTTAGGAAAATATACGGAAAATAACGGAAAACTTTCCAACGTCTGGAAAAATTTTCACTTTTTCCCGGAAATTTTCCGTCTTTTCCAGAAATTTTCCGGAAATTTTCCGGAACCTTTCCAGGGCTTCCAGCCCTATCAATAGTCAGTACCGCGCCCCAGCAGTACAGTCAACCACGAAAGTGGGGCGCTACAAGTGACAGCCTTGATAGTATACGTACATGCAGGAAGCCGCCGATGCCGAAGTACAGTCCGTACGAGACGATGGTGGACCAGATCCAGAAGCTCCCGAAGTCCTTGAAGCGCGTCTCGAGGAAGACGCGGAGCGTGGTCGCGGTGGGCAGGCCCTCGTCCGGGACCGTGCTCAGGCCGAGCTGCCGCCGCAGGTGCACCAGGATCACCAACCAGTCACCTAGAGCCACAGACACGAAACAACTGTTTTTATTTTTGTACTCTTTACAGTGCTGGGGACGGTAGCATGTGCCCTAAAAACTATGTCCCTGATTTCGAGATTCGCCTTAAAGTTTTAGAGATACAAGTGTTCGTACTTCAACCCCTATCCCCCCTCCAAACAAGTAATTTTCTTTCACGTGTTCTAGAATGGAACACATTTTTTTCCGGAGTGCCACGTGATCGGCGAACCTCCACCCGCTGTCACATTTCAATCATCTGCGACGCCCCCACAGTCCCCACAGCACACGCCGCCTGCTGTGCAAGTTCACGACCAAAGGACATCCGCTTATCTCGCCGCCCCTACCAAAAAAAAAGAAAAGGAAAAAGAAAAACACGCCGGGGAACACGATAAGTCCGTAGGCAAGATAGGCGCTGTAGTGCTTGCACCTGTGAAACGACCTTGCCGGACGCCCGAGTGGCCTTCCCAAAGGGCTCAGCGGGCGGGTTGATTAGTCCAACCAAATGCACTCCTTTGAATCCAGTCTCGCGCCTTAACCTGGTGCAGCACCTGCAAAGTGTCATACCCACTGGAAACGCCAAAGGTGTGTGATGTCGTACATTTGCAGGTGGGTGAACGCCCACTTCTGTACACATGAGGGAGTGGAGGTGTGAATTTTCCAATAACACACACTTTCGTACCTCCATGTGTACGAATGTCGTTCACACACCTTGCGAGATTCACACACTTGTGTTTTCCTAGTCTACACCTTTTGGTGTGTCTACACCTTTTGGTGTGAGACACAGAACAGGGTGGTCCACAGTCCACAGACGCCTTCCTTTACTTTGCTTGTACTGTACCGGATGCAGGCGTGCGGGCAGGGTTGCATACTCGCGCGGAGCCATGAGGCACCGCGGTGAGCGACGGTAGGCAAGCCCACTCACACGCCTGCATTCGGTATGGTATTCAGTTGTTTCTCGCACCAAAAAAGGTTCAGGACACTCCGCTTTCTTACTGCACCAAAATGAAAGGGTGTAAGACTGCCTCACACCAAAAAAGTTTCCAGAGTGAATTTGTTTCCCTGAATCCGCACAACAACACCGGTAATACAAATGTAGAAAGTTGCACACCAAATGATGTGCAAAAACTAAACACTTCATGATGTTGAACTGAACTAGACGTCAATTGCTGTGCAAACATTAGACGTTTTGTTTACGTTTTGGTAACTAGTGTTTGCACACTACTAAGTGAGCAGGTCAGTTAAACACCATGCAATGTGCAAAATCATCAGTTACACATTTAAGTGTGCAATATTTGCTCACTTGTTTTACCAGTGAACAACTACTACTACACGTTGAACCCTTATGCATTGCGCTGTGCATAAACATGCAGAATTTTATACAACCATAAGTATGCACAAATTTTATGCATACCTATGTACAAATTGTGCATAATTACGCAGAAACTGTACACATTCATAAAATTGTGCGTAATATTATGGCTGTATGAAATTCTGCAAGTTTATGCGCAGCAACACAATGCATGTGGGTTTACCGTGTGCTCGTTTTCGCCTCCCAAACCATCCAGCAGTTGTTGACGTGCCCATGCGGCCCTCCTCCTTATACAATCAGGAGGTGCTCGGCGTGTTTTTTTTTTTATTTTATCTCCCCGCCACGTCCACGTCGAAAGGGCTGGGGGTCATGTTGCCGTGCCCAGAGTGCGTCCGGCCTCTGATAAACCCCAGCCGGGTGCACGCGCCCCCACCGAGACCCCCGCCGAGGTCTCCGCCGAGGCCCCGGTCCCCGCCGAGGCCCCCGCAGAGGCCCCCGCCGAGGTCTCCACCGAGACCTCCTCTGAGGTCCCCGCCGAGGCCCCC